TAATATCAACAGGAATACTATTACATTGAGCACATTCATTCTGTGAAATTTCTAGAGGGTATATTCGTTGTATCGGCCTTTTTAATTTACCTTCTTTGGTTTTCAACAAGACCACGCGTACAATACCATCCCTACCTAAAAATAATTTCTCAATTTTTCCTAAAGGCCAGTCAATACGCTTATGAGTGTCATCGCCTATAATAACAATATCACCGACTTGAACTTTACCATGACTTTTCAATTTACTCTTGGAGACCAATTGACCTAAGTATTCACTCCGAAAACGTTTCCTCAAATGTTCTACCATTTCTTGTTTGCGCTTGTATCTACTGGTTAACTCAATTTTATTTACTACATCGATATCAGGTGTTCCTGTCTCTTTAATTTCGTGTAAAAACATCGCCGGAGTCAACACCTTTAAGTCATCAGCTGATTCTGAAATGTAGGTCAAAGGTCTTGAATTTAAAACCGACTCGCAATCACACAACACTGTAGACATTTCCTCAAAATTAAGACAAGATTTTCCCAGAACTTTACGCAAAAGATTTTTTAACATCCCAACTAATCGCTCCCACCATCCTCCCCACCAAGGGGCCGATGGTGGATTAAACTGCCATTGAATCTGTTTCGCGGAACAATATTTACTTATATATTCCCAATTTAATGACTTAAAGGCATTGTTCGCGCCAACAAAATTCAACCCGTTATCACTATACATAATAGTTGGTCGTTCTCGACGACTGATAAAACGTCGAAAACACTCCAAAAAAGCTTGCGTAGACAAAGAGGTATATTGCGCGGTATATTGCACAAGTAAATAAACAGATCCAGCCCTTCTGCTGACCTCGTAAAAATAGCGGACCTGCGAAATCTACACCGGTAATCTCAAAAACATTTGCATCTCTAACGCGATTAATCGGCAAAGGGGCTGGAACCGTCTGCACATGTTTCGAATTAAATCTTTTACAAATGTGGCACTCGGCAATGACTGATTTGACAGTTCTTCTCATAGACATGATCCAAAATTTGTCTCTTAAATGGCACATGACAATTTGCACTCCTGCGTGACACATATTTTCGTGAGTTTCTCGAATTAGCAATTTCACCGCATCATGTTTTCCGTCTAATAAAATTGGAAACAAAAAGGGAAAACTATCGTCGCGTTCAATAATTTTTGTTTTCAATCGTATCAAACCGTCCGTATGCAGCAAAATTTGTAACGTTGCTAGCCTTGGATCATTTTTTGGTAAAAACATTTGAGATTGTAAAGTTTTCGAAAATTTTAACTCAATTTCTGTTAACTCTTTACACGTAATTAGCGAGCCCCATTTATTTTCAATTTTAAGTTTAAAATTCTTAAATCGGTACATGATAGCAAAAAATCTTATTAGTTTATTGTATGACGAGAAACTGTTTACAATGTCTAAATTTTCTTTCTCACTCAACGTGACCATCGAGACCTGTGCCGTTTTCTTTAATTCTGTTTTTATTTCACGTTCATCGACAGTACATTTTTCCCGTGGCCAATTTTCCTCATTATCACGAAACCACTCAGGCCCCTCCCACCACCGAGAATCGAGAAGTTGCTTTGCGTCACAACCACGTGAGGGGAGGTCTGCGGGGTTCAATTTTCCCGGCACATGTCTCCAGGTACTCGACTGTGTCAACTCATGATTTTCACGCACCCGATTATATACAAAAGTGTTCCATTGCATATCACGGTCAATCCACGCCAAAACCGTGGAAGCGTCTGACCAATACGTGACTGGAACGTCTTTCCAAGATAATGACTTGAGGATTTCATTCGTCAAACGACTCCCGATAGTGTCTGCTAAAAGTTCCAAACGCGGAATTGTAGTATTTTCCGGTGCTATTCTAGTTTTTGCATTAACAAATCTTAATTCGACTCCCTCTCCTCGTTCGATTCGCAAAAAAACAACCGTTGCATACGCGAGTTTACCTGCATCACAAAACGTGTGTATTGACAATTTGCCTTTTCCAAATTTTCTTGGAATTTCAATACTACTTAAATAATGTAATTGTTTTAGCCATTTATTATACTCGTCGCTAATTTCCTCCTCCACTGGCGTATCCCAGTCTTTCTTCAGTTTCCACAATCTTTTCAATAATAATTTAGGAAACAAAGTAACAACAGGAGACACAAAACCCATAGGGTCGAACACTCTGTTCGCCGCAGAAAGAATCGTTCGCTTACTTACGTCCTTGTCAAAGTCAATCTTAAGAACCTTCGGATTTATTGAAATAGTGTCTCGTTTTTTGTTATATAAAATACCCAAAACTAATGTAGAGTCCTTTTCTGCGTTATCGTTCGTGTATTCCCAATTCCGTAAATCAAAACCTCCTTTGTTCAAGATTTCCCTAGACTCTTTTATAAAAACATTTAATTCCTCTTTTGAGTCTACGCTTGTCGCGCAATTATCCACATAGAACGAATCTTTTAATTATAAAATCGTTTTTTCAGACCAACAATTTTAAAAAATTTTTCTGAAACCGCCCTCAATATATTCGAACAATGGAGTTCTAGCACTGCCCCTAATAAAAAGGGACTACAAGTTAAACCGAAAACAACTCGCTTGTGTCGAAAAATTCGAACTTCTCCATTTTTGTACCATAAAAATCGTAAAAAATAGCGATTCGTTTCGTTAACTTTAATCTGTAAAAAAGCTTTGCGAATATCTGCTATGACGGCTATTTCATGTTTTCTAAGACGAAGTAAAGAGGTCGGAATCAATTCTATCAAATTGGGGCCTTTTTCGAGACATTGATTTAAAGATGGATAACCCTTTTCCCTGGCGGACGCGTCGAAAACCGGAAGGATTCGAGTTGTACTGTCTAACTTAACCACGTGACGATGAGGTAAATAATGAGCTTGGTTTTCCATCTCATTGTCTGGTACTAGTTCGACAATACCTTTATCCAGCCAATCCTGAATCACTTTATCATAATCGTCGAAAAAACCCTCCGCTTTTAACTTTTTTACTAAATTATTTAATCTTGACTTTGAAATACTAAGATTTGACGGAATCGGAGCATGATTTTCAGTCCAGAATAAATCAACAGTATAACGATTGTTATCTTTCAAACTAACGGTATTTAAAAAATTTTCTTTTACACGTTTTTCTTTTTCTAGACGATTTTCTTTTTCTACAAGGTCTCTAATACCAATTGTATCTAAACTCCAAAGGTCTGAAACTTTTGCTTCATTAATAAACAATGTAACGTCAGTCATTGCAACGTCTTTTCGTTTACTTTCTGGTACTTTACCCATTACCGTCCAACCTAACCGTGTCTCGAATACCGTCAAACCATTAGAACAATCGAATTTATTTCCTGTCATTAATTTACCGACTATATCGGCCCCGATAAGCATATCAATGGACTCTTCAGACTTTTGTGAATTCGAATCAAAGTCACACAATTGAATACCCTTTTCTTCGAGTTCAATTATCCAATCTGCTTGTTTCACACAAGGAATGTCATTACAAATGACGTCTTTATTCATTACCTGAAAATTACAAGCATAATTTCCGATACGATTCCTTACTCGCGCCAAATAAATGTAATGCGTCTCTCCCTTTGTTCTTTCCCCGCCGAACAGTTCCCTGTGGAAAACGCATAGCACACCCTCTTTGCCTGCAGTCGATAGGACTTGGAGAGGCAGGCCATGTCGACTGGTGTTAACGCTGCAGTTACACCGGAGAACATGGTAGCGCTGATGATCCAGTCCGAGGAAAACTGGCAGCTCATCGAGACCTTTATCATCACTGTTATGATGAGAAAGGATCTTGATGGCCGCAGAAAGGCGTAATTAACAGTATCCACTTTTTATTTATTTATTTGTTTATTTTATAACTTATTTTGTCTTTTTACAATTTTTTGTTTATTTATTTTAGTCTTTTAACAGTTTTATATTATATTTTATGTGTTCATCTGTCTTTTTACAATTTTATTTTTGACTTTGTTTATTTTACTTTTATTTTATTTATTGACTTTTTATTGTTTTCTTTTCTGATGTGCTGTTGATTCCGCTTTGACATTGATTTTCGTTTTATTTTTAAAATTGATAACGCAGGATGTCCGCAGGACTGGACGAAGTCGCTTCACGACAAAGTAGGAGCGCCACCTTCGAAGGCAAAAGTCTTCACGACAGTACCGAGGGTGGATAAAGGGCTCCCAAGAAGGGTTGACGGGGTTTAGTGGGTCGGGGCTGGTAGTAGTTCGCCAGCTTATTTTGTTTAGTGTTCTCCTTTTTTTACCAACCCCACATAACCTTGGCATGCGGAAGCCAAGGTATCTGTATGCAGATTTCCTAAAAGTCCCGAAGCAAAAAGAAAAAATAATAATAATAATAATGGAGAAAGGAAGAGGGGTGAAAAAGATAGCCAAATAGGGAAGAGCAAGAGGAGCTAGAGGATGATAAGGAAAGACGAGGGGGTGAGAGGATTTTGGGGTCGAAGTATACGATTATCATACAACATGGTGAGGGCAGAGAGGAGACCGAGGTACTTGGACTATGTGAGAAAATTTGGAAAGTGGAATTGGGTGAACATGTTCAGAACGAAGCCAATAGGCAAATGGAACTGTAAACGGAAGCTCGGGCACTGGCGGATATACATATATAGATTTATAGATTTAAAGATTAAGTTTAGTTAAGAATTTTAGGTATATAGAATGAGAGGATAAACTACTAGTATAATAATATTTTTTATTAATTATACAGATTTTTATTTCTATTTATATAAAAACTTATTTACCTAGACTAATACTAAACTTTTTTATGCTGAGCATTATTATTTTTGTTATAAGTTTTCTATTTGTATAAAATTATCGTTAAGATAAATAAATTGTACTTATTATATACTTCTTCTTTGTAGGGCTCAGTAACCCTAGAACTTTGATTTTAATATAAATAAATTAAATATTTTTCTAAAATAGCTATAATGGAACATCTTTACAATATTTTTCATGTTTTTTTTCAGGTTGCCTTAACAACAATAGGTTTATGGTTTATGGCATGGACACCATATTTAGTTATTAATTATATTGGAATATTCAATCGATCTCTTCTCACACCATTATTTACGATTTGGGGTTCCTTATTTGCTAAAGCTAATGCTATTTACAATCCAATTGTTTACGGTATAAGGTAAGTACTGCAAGATCAAGTTGTTCTCTATTTTATACTGTAGATGTAGATGTTTTGACATACACTACCGGCAGAAATTATAGGTACACCTGACGTGCAAGGATTGGAAAATTGATGCTGACTTTAAAGTAAGATATTTTAAGTTAGAAAAAAGTTAGAGACTCGTAATTTAGATAGTTGGAAAGCTGATCAAATTCTGCGTATGAATGTATATCAAGAATTTTTTTTCCTTTTTTGTAGCATTTATAACACCAAAAAGATTTTAAGAAAAAATTATGCAATTTTCCTACTTTCGTACTAATGTTTATGACTCCTGGCATGATCTAGAATAATGTATGGAAAATTTGGACAATTTTACAACAAAATTTTTAAAGTCTTAGCTTTAATTTGCATTTTTCAAACTTGAAAAATGTTTTGCAGTTCCTAAAATATGTTAAAACATGCTCGGACCTTTTTAAAACATTTTAGGAACAACAAAACATTTTTTAAGTTTCAAGAATGCAATCAGACGCAGAATTTAATCAGCTTTCCATAACCATCTAAGTTACAAGTTGCTAACTTTTTTCTAATTTAAAATATCTTACTTTAAAGTAAGTATCAAATTTCCTCTTCTCGCCCGTCAGGTGTGCCGACAATTTCTGCTGGTAGTGTCATTGCATCAAAATTATTACGACAGCTTTTTCTAGTATGTGTAGTACGGTTGTCGCAAGTAGTAAAGTGTCTCACCTTTACAAGGTTGCCATGAAAGGCTGCTGAAAAATTAAAATGAAAGATTGTTGACAGCTTTAAACTTGAAATGACAAAATCATACACAATTGCAGCAAGCTTACAAAATTCTTACAAAAAAATTAAATTTTTACTTTCGTATTAGGTATTTAGTAATCTTATAGTTTTATAACTATATTATACGTAATAAAGATGTTGAGTTTTTTTGATTTTTTACAATATTAAGATGTTATGTTGTTGTAGGTATAATCCGCATTTATTGTTTAATATTTAATAAATTAGCTTTTGCCCATCTATACTGGGCCTCTTCAGATATTTAATATAACTAAAAAAAATTGAAAATTTGTGTAAAAAATAAATTTTTAAAAAATTAATAATTTTAAAAGTCTAAAAATTAAAACATATATGTATGTAGAACATAACATTAAACTTAAATTTCTCCTCTCACATATTAACAACCATTAGTCTTAAAAGTATAAAAAATTCTACATAATTTTTCAATTTTTTTTCAAATTTCCGAATTCATATCTCACATTCTCTCACATCGTGGGATTATGTGTGTAACACATGTTCGAAAGTAAGAAGCACGTGTGATAAAATTAAAAACGTTGACTAGTAATTTTAAATGAAAAAGGATTAGTTCTACATTACTCCCTCGTGGAAAATAAAGTATAGGCTTTGTTTTACAGACCAAGTTAGTTCTTCAAGTAACCGATAGTGGGCGCCACTATCGATTAGTCAAATTGTGCTAAATAGATTTTAAAATTTCCCGGGTACACATCTTGAAAGCAGGTAGGTATTAAACTTTTCATCAATCTCAACGACAATTTTTACTCCACATTTGCCGTTGACTGCCTGGATCTTTGTAATTAAATACTTATTTCCAGGAGTCAATTCAGAAAGTGGCTTTATTGTCAAGAATGCATACGGCCAGTGGCGTTGATTTCACTGAGATCCATAACTGCTAAATCTGTGAAAAGAAAAAGGCTGCTCATTCTACATCTATTTATAATTGAAATTCAACAGGCATATGGGCAATATCTCTTCCACTTGTTACGCATGCGCAATACTTTAAATTGAACCATCACTCTACTTCCCTATGCAATAACTCCACCACTTTCTCTACACATGCGCATTACCCCAATGCAATTAACCTTGATCTTTTAACGTCAGAAACAAATGTCTAGACACGTTTATACAAGTTTAAACTTGTTAAATTGCGCATGCGCAGTTTCAACTATTACACGAACAAAACACATGTATTTTATAAGGAAGGGAGGTAATTATTATTATTATTTAATATAAAAAATGCAAATCCGCAGAAAGAAATCTTTGTTTAATTGTAGGTATATTTTTCAATATCTTTAATTTCATAACTATCAGGGGGTATAGTAAATACTTGATTATCAATATAAAATTTATTTTTACCTTCATAAATATTAGGTATTGAATTGAAAGTTAACAATTTAACTAAGCCAAGTACATAATTTCTATTAGGTAATAGTTCTACTGGAAGAAAATATTCATCCTCTATATTAAATTTTTTGCTGATTAAGATTTTTAAAAATTACAATAATGAAGTATACGACTTTACCAGCAAAGTGACATCTATTAGATGTCATTTAAACTCCTTGATTTAGAGTTAGATGTTTCATGTGATAATTATATCGATATGGTTTATAAAATATGTTAAACTATTGAAATTTATCAATATTTATTTATTTATTTGAACACATAACGGGACATGCCCTTTCGTACAAAAGTACTCCTAAATCTAAAAATTACAATACTCTATTTTACTAAATCTAGGTTGCCGCTTAAAAGAAAATATTTTAGTTTTCGTTTAGCAAGATATTACGTAATGATGATGTGAACCGTGTAACGTTATTATCAAAGAAATTAATGTCATTAGCAATCATGTTTGCATGGACAGAAAAGAGAAGATGATTGCTTTAAATTTTTAGACGAAGAGGGTCTTATGCTATTTTCCTTAGAAAGAGGAAAGAATATTTCAAACAAAAACATTCTTATCACACCTGTCTTTAATGAAGAAAAAATTGGTCCCCGATGCCGAAAAAAAACTCTTGAATATTTTGAATCTCTGTACCCTAAATAAACAAAATTTAAAATATTTAAAATCGTAACTGATCCTCCTGCTCTTTTTTTATGAATTTATTGTTTTTTTATGCATTATTTATTTATTTATTTACATATATATACGGGCAATGCCCTTTCGTACAAGAATACTAAAGTATAAAAAATAGGAAAAGAACTAGGCGCAATTGCGCCTACATCTAGGGTTTCGTGGCGCTTTAAATTTTAATTAAAAAAAAAATAAATCAAAAATAAATAATTTAAAAATAAATAATAAAATTTATTTTATAAATTTTATGTACTATTAAATTTTATTTATTTAGCAAAATTTTTATTATAAATTGGCAAAATCAAAATTCAAAAAGGTAAATGAAAGAAAAAAGAAAGAGTGGCTGTGGAGTGGAGGTCTTTCTTCTATCATTTATCTTTTTTGATTCACAAACAAAAACATTAGGTAAAATGTCCATTCGATAATGTCAACTATATGGACATGTCAACTATTGGGACATGTCAACTATTGGGACATGTCAATTACTGAGACAGGTCAACTACTGGGACATGTCAACTATAGGGACATGTCAACTATATGGACATGTCAACTATTGGGACATGTCAACTATTGGGACATGTCAATTACTGAGACAGGTCAACTACTGGGACATGTCAATTATAGGGGCATGTTAACTAATGGGACATGTAATGTCCATTCATGTAATGTCCATTCGGGAAAATGTCCATTCAGTAAATGGAGATTTAGGATCTGTGGGGCCCCAAAATTTGAATTTGGGAGCTATGGTGCCCCAAAATTTGAATTTGGGATCTGTGGTGCCCCAAAATTCGAATTTGGAAGCTATGTTTGCCCAAAATTCGAATTTGGGATCTGTGGGGCCCAAAAATTCGAATTTGGGATCTGTGGTGCCCCAAAAGTTTAATTTGGGATCTGTGGGGCCCCAAAATTTGAATTTGGGATCTGTGGGGCCCCAAAATTCGAATTTGGGATCTGTGGTGCCCCAAAAGTTTAATTTCTGATCTGTGGGGCCCCAAATTTTGAATTTGGGATCTGTGGTGCCAAATGGGGGTGTTTATACTACGGACAGACAGACGGACGCCAAAGTGAAACTATGAGGCTTTCGGCCATGGGCCACGAAACCCTAAAAAAAGAACATAAGAAAAATGACAGTGCGAAACAATGTTTTGTTATTTCTCAAGCAGTATCGAAAATTTCAGAGCGTAGCTTACATACAAATTTACTTAGAGAAATACCATAAAAATCAAGGTTGTTATGGTACTCATTAGCTTCTCTTGTTATCCTATTTATAACAGAATTTATTACATAGTTTGTTCTTTGAAAAGACTGTCTGAACAGAGTTGGATTTCTGGTTGGTCTAAAAGGAACAGCAAAATTTAGCAAAAATAAGAGTGGAGGGCAGTTAATAATGCCGTTAATAATTTTAAACATAAATAGTAAATCAGTAAATAAGAATTTGTTTCTTAATAGAGGAATACCCAGAATCCTTCTCAGTTCAGTATAGTCATGACTAAATCTATCAAATGGTATCCCCGTCTGCCTAGCAACAAAACGCATAAATTTATTTTGCACCCGTTCCAGTGCCATCAATAAGTATTCTTGGTAAGGTGACCAAATCAATGAAGCAAATTCAAGTATTGGTCGAACTAATGAAAAATATAAGACCTTTAACGCTATTATATTCTTAAACCGCGATGCATTTCTAGTGACAAAGCCCAACACTCTAGTCGCGTTATTGACAACATTTAAAATATGTTTTCCAAAATCCAATTCTGAGTCTAGTGTAACTCCCAGGTCACGCACCACTGATGCTCTAGAGAGAACATCAATACCAATATTGTATTGATACTCTTTAATTAGCTGAAGTTTACTGAAAGAAATTATACTGCATTTTTTAATGTTGAGAAAAAGTTTATTATTTATTGACCATTTTGTTAATTCATTCAGATCTGATTGGAGGTCAAGAGCATCTTGATCACATGTTATTGCTTTGTATAATTTAAGGTCATCAGCAAACAAGAGGAATAAACTATGTTTAAATATAGTGTTTGTGTCGTTTATAAAAAGCAGAAAAAATAAAGGCCCAAGATTCGATCCCTGGGGAACACCAGAAGTTGCTAGGAAAACAATTGAAAATTCATGTTCAATACGC